GAAAAGTTGCTCCACATCACTAATCATCAGGGAAATGCACACCAGAACCACAATGAAGTATCACTTCACACCCACCAGAATGGCTATTATCAAAAAGATAAGAAATAATAAGTGCTAACAAGCATGTGGCGAAAAGGGAACCCTTGTGTGCTATTGGTGAGAATATAAATTGGTACAACTATTGTGGAAAACAGTATGGAGGTTCCTCAAAAAATTAAAAGTAGAACTATGGGGGCTCCTGGCTGGCTCAGTCAGTAGAGCATGTGACTGTTGGTCTCAGGGTTGTAAGTTCAAGCCCCATGTAGAGATTACTTAACAATAAAATCTTAATAAAAACTGAGAATTACAGTATGATCCAGCAATTCTATATCTGGATATTTATCCAAAGAAAACAAAAACACTAATTCAAAAAGATATATGCATCCCTATGGTCATTGTAGCATTATTAACAATAGCTAAGATATGGAAGCAACCTAAATGTCTATGGAAAGATGAAAAAAGAAGATGTCTCACACACACACACACACACATATACACGCAGAGGAATATTATTTGGTCATAAAAAAGAATGGATCTTGTTATTTGTGACAACATGGATTGACCTAGAAAGAATTATGCCAAGTAAAATAAGTCAAAGAAAAACAAATACCATATGATTTCACTTATATGTGGATTCTAGGGGCACCTGGGTGGATCAGTGGGTTAAGCCTCTGCCTTTGGCTCAGGTTATGGTCTCAGGGTCCTGGGATCGAGCCCCACATTGGGCTCTATGCTCAGCGGGGAGCCTACTTCGCCCTCTCTGCCTGCCTCTCTGCCTACTTGTGAACTCTGTCAAATAAATAAACTAAATCTTTAAAAAAATGTGGATTCTAAAAAACAAAACAAACAAAACAAGCAGATTCATAAATAGAGGAAACAAATTGGTGGTTGCCAGCAGGTAGAGAGGTAGGAGGACAGGCAAAATAGGTGAAGGGGATTGAGAGGTACACACTTTTCTGGTTTGAAAACAAGTGAAAGGGATGTAAGGTACAACCTAGGGAATGTAGTTGATAACATTGTAATAACTTCATATGGTGACAGATGATAAATATACTTATCATAATCATTTTGTAATGTGTATGTCAAATCACTATCTTATACACCTGAAGCTAATATAATATTCTATCTAACTACATTTCAATTAAAAATAAAATAAAGTGGCACTTGCGTGGCTCGGGCAGTTAAGAGTCTGCCTTCAGCTCGGGTCATGATCTCAGGGTCTGGGGATCAAGCCCTGTGTGGGGCTCAGTGTTCAGCACAGAGTCTGTTTGTCCCTCTCCTTCCCCTTCTAAACCTCCCCTCACTTGCTCTCTCTCTCTCTCTCTCTCAAATAAATAAATAAAATCATCAAAAAATAAAAATAAATAAGATAAAAAATAATTTGTAAATTTGCTGTCCCATACTAAGATTTGAATTTCATCAGATTCAACACTTTTTAAAGTTTTTTTGGAATAAGTTATGGTACAAATAATCAAAATATTCAGCTTTTAAGAGCTGAGTCCTTTCAGGTCTGGAAACCAGTAAATCCATTCGATATGTACTGACCACCCGCTGGGTGCAAGACTTTCTCCTCCCCATGCACACCCTAATTCTCAGTACCATCCCCTAGCCTATCATGGAGCTTTTGTTCCACGTAGAATTCCATTTCCTCCCTGCATTAATTCAGAAGTGAGAACCCAAAGCATTCAAGGTAATATAGAGCCTTTGACCAGATCTAACTGAACGTCAAAAATCCTCTACCAAAATAAAGATAATATTTTCTTCTTTTGATATTTGGCACCAAGGATGCTAGAGGCAAAAACTACTTAAACTACTCAAGCCATTCACACCAGCCGAAGCTCAGAGGCAGAAGAAATACAGAGGTCAAGTCAAGACATGGTATGCATAATGTTGGAGCAAGGGTGTCAGTGTCAAAATAATCTGGGTCCACAAGCTGAGTGATCCTCAGCAGGTCTGCTGAGCTCTCCAAGTCACAGTTCCCTCATCTGTAATGGGGGGTGGGGTGGGGGGAGGCACAGAGCTATTTCACAAAGTTGCTATGAGAATTAAATGAGATTCTATATGTACAAGGACCTAATCTGGTCACGGTATTCATTTATTAAGCGGCCATGAGTACTAAGGACGTGTCAGGTGCTGGCAACACTGTGGTGAACCAGGCAGACGGCTCCCTCGTGTGCCTCTCCCCTCAAACGGGGGCTACTGTCTCCGGGGGAAGACAAGCATTAAACAAGTACCTACAAACACAAATACTTGCTATACGAGGAGGAGTTCTAAGTCACCACAGCCTAGTTTAGAGTTCCCAAAACGGTAGCTTATGAAATGGTAAACAAATACATGTATTTCATTATATTCTGCTCTGGTAAACTTGTCTTTATTCCGTCATTCTCAACGTCCTTCTCTCTCTCTCTCCCTTCTCCTTATTTCCCAGTATCATGACAACATTTCTAGCCTACCTTCATATTCAAACAGTATTCAATGGACCATTTTTTCTTATTAACTCATTTATATCAAGTATACATGACTGAAAAGATTTAGCATAGTACCTCAGTCTGCTACTAACTTCATTTATATCAAGCATACATGACTGGAAAGGTTTAGCATAGTACCTCAGCCTGCTACTAACTTCAGTATCGTTTTAAGCTATAATTTGGCATTATCTGAGAGGAAGAGTATATCTGTGATAGAATTTTAGGTTTTCATTTTTTTTTTAATTAAAAAGTTTTTAAAACTTTTTCAGCTTCGGGGCACCTGGGTGGCTCAGTGGGTTAAAGCCTCCGCCTTCGGCTCAGGTCATGATCCCAGTCCTGGGATGGAGCCCCGCATCTGGTCTCTGCTCAGCAGGGAGCCTGCTTCACCCAGCGCACACCGCCACCGCCCCCCCCCCCCGCCCGCCGCCTCTCTCCCTACCTGTGATCTCTGTCAAATAAATAAATAAAGTTTTTTTTTAAAAAACAAAACAAACAAAAAAAAACTTTTTCAGCTTCAAATTATCTAAAATTTATAATTAAGTTGCAAAAACAGTAAAAAATGTTTCCAGATACTCTTTACTCATCTTCCCCAAATGTTACCATTTTATATAGCGGCAGCCCACTTACTGAAACTAGAAAACTACCATTAATAAAATATTATCCAGGTTTTGACTTGAGAGAAGTGTTGGGGTCTGAGGAGAGAGAGCCAGAGGCATTCTATAGGACTGATCACTGACCTCATGGGTGATTTAAAACAGTGGACAATTCAGCTTTCCATTTATTTTGGGCTTCCAATGATAAAATGATGGGAGGGGGCATGTATATTACCTTTCTAATTTCCTTTTGTGTATACTAATGCTAAAACTTCTATGGATTTTTGAAAGACATAAACTCAAGAGTTCTTTTCCAGCAAGTATTTGATTCCCTAGAAGGTCCAAGGAACTCTGCTGAACTTTGGGGAATCAAAGATCCGATCCTGTTCTGCTTGTGTGACACTACGCCCCACATCTTTAGAGGGATTATCACATTTAATCTTTACAACAATCCTAGAAGATAAGACCTGCTGTTATGTCTGTCTGACTGAAGCAAAAAATAAGGCTCAGAGACCCACCCAGCAAGGAGACCAGGCAGCTCCTCACCTTAACTTCCACACCACACTCTGGTAAGTGCTACTGAAATGTTCTCAAGTCTGGAATAATATTTTGCTATATGAAATCACTTGTCCTTCTCTTATATAAAACGTAACATGGACATACTACCATAGAAATGGCTTAAAAAGAAGAGCAACTATATAATAAACCTTAATAAGATGGGTACATTTTAGGAACAAAAGTTTGTCAATAGGAAGGGTTTACATCACACTTAACCTTTTTCCAGAAGTGCTGTTGTCCCTGTACCTCAGGATACAAATGTGCACCTGGGAATGGTATAGGCAGAGACGGCTTCAAGTCATGGGTCAACAATCTCCTGAGCCTAGAACATCAATACTCTAGCGCCCACATTCCCACCCTTTCTGCTTTTATTCAAAGGGATAGACAGCCTTGGAATTTCAGCATATGATTAAGTGGTTATTGCACTGATCATACCTTGTTGTTGTTTTCAAACGCACACGTTCTAGTATCTGTGTCGTCCTGGTGAGTGTTAACTTTTCTTTAGGTCCTGGGGCTTTCAGAGCTGGTCCGAGCCTGGTAATTAAGAGTTAGCTTTGGCAATGGAGTAGAACCTTCCCTTTCTCCAAATGTTTGCTGTGCTCCTGCGGTATCTGAGGACGTGGGAGGCTGACAGATCCATCCCCACCAGAGGCAAGAACTACTCAAAGAACCCCGCCCGTTTTGTGGGGAGGAATGGCATCTCCCCGCGGGAAGGGCGGCCCTGTTGTCCCCACACAGTGGACGGGGGAGACAGACGCACATGCACGTGGGCTTCTGGGGATTCCACTCCATCTTGAAGTTCATTTAAAAAAATGAATTTGAACTTTAAGGTGTCTCAAAGCTGGACCCTCTCTTTTGAGAAAAGGGGCGAGAGCGATGGGGAAAGGCTTTCCCTCGGGTGGTGGGAGGAGGCGCCCCAACGGCGGGAAGCGGCCGAGGATGCCGCGTCTGGGGAAGGGCCCTCGGGGGTACACACCGTCCAGATCCCGCTCGTCTGCGGACGCTCGTCCCGGACCCCACGGCCGCGTGCTTCACCGCGCTGGGGAGGGCACGGAGGAACCCACGAGAGCCCCGGCCTCCCCGCTCTGCACTCTGGCCACGCGGCTCTGGCGGACCCGAGGCGGCGGGGCGCAGAGCCTAGCAGGCGGGCAGGCGGGGCGGGCGCGGCGCCGGGAGGAGAGGGCGAAGGGCCGGCGGCGGCCTCGCGGCGCGTCCACATGTGGCGGGGCCGCAGGGGCGGGGTGGGGGGGGGGGGGGCGGGGGGGGGGGGGGGGGGGGGGGAGGACTGGGAGCCGAGGGGGAGGGTTTACATCTCCGCGAAGTTCCCGGATGGTCGCAGCCTCCCGGCGCTGAGCGCTTTTCCTGCCCGGCAGGCTCAGCCCTACAGACCCGGGAGAAGTTTCCCAGAAAAAAATGCCCGGCGCGCCGCGGGGCCCTGGAGCCGCCCGGAGCCGCTGCGCGGTAAGGGACGTGCCGCCGCCGCCGCCTCGGACCGACCGGGACCCCGGGGGCTCAGGGCGGCGCCCGGGGAGACCCCCGCGGCCGCCGGGGACGCCGGGGAGGGGCAGGGCTGGACGGCGGGGTGGGGAGCGCCGCGCGGCAGCGGGCGGGGGCGCCCGGGGACGTCGGGGCTGCGTCGGCGGCGGGCGGTGGGCGCGGGCGCGCGGCCTCGGGAGGGGCGGAGTGGGGAGGAAGGGGCCGCGTACTGCTGGGCTCCGGGCGCGGGCGCCTCCCGCCTGGGCTCCGGCGACCCTAGGGCCGCCCGCGGGACCCGCTGCCGCCGTAGTTCCCCAGGCAGGGTCCGAGTGGGTATGCGCTGGAGCGGTATCTACGTCCTCCGGCTCGGGGTGCTTTTGGGCATCCCCGGGCCAGTTCATGACCAGGAGCCGCCTCGCCTTCTTCGCTGGAGGAATCGAACCCATCCCGCAACTAGGCTCCCGCCTGCAGACTGCGGCTGCTCTGCGGTCGGTGTAGACGCGCGCGTTAGATGTGGTCATTGACCTTAGAGGCACTTCCAGCCCCTGTCAGCGCTCCCCTCCAACCCCGGGGCCTTTCCCGAACTTTCCGGGCAGCCTCGCTTCAGCCTCATTCCCACTACCTTTTTCTACTAACACATTTTTCTTTCCAAAAAAGAACTGTTGAAGAAAGTTGCAAGCGTAAAAGAAACCAGCTGATCCAGTCGAGGCGACCCAAATCCTCAAGGGGTGCTTAGTTAGACTTTCAACTTTTGGAGAGTAACAAAGGGTGTGTCTGTGTCTGCTAGTCTTCTGGTCCTGTGTTATCCCAGAGGAATATTCCCTCCTGGGCCTGGGCTCCTGGCCTTATCTCAGTTCTCCGGGAACCCTCTCAAGTTGTTAGCAGTGACTGGATGGACTTAGTCCCTTTTTCTGAAAATTATGTGTCACTACTGTCCCCTGGATAGTTCCTGGACCCCACCCCACCCCCCAGTCGCTGGCCCTGTATGGCCCCAGACTCCAGGCAGTGCAGCCGTGGAGCCCCGGGACACAGTCCCACCCTGGGTGGGTTTTCTTTTGCCAGTTTCCCCAGGCAATTTCAAAACAGTACTGTAGCTTCACTTTGAGTCATTGGCATATTTTTCCTCCTCGAAAATGCCTTTTCTTGTAACAGATAAAATAACTATAGGGACTACTGCCTTCCAGTGTTTCGTATCTTTACCTGCCTGTCATCCCCATAAGGCTGTTTCTCAGGAACCAACCACTCCTCCGCCATCCTGCCCCTCCATCTGTTGGAGCCCATTACCTGTTATGGAAGTGTGCAGGCAAGACTCTGCAGGTGTTATTAATCATTTTAGTCCCATCATCATCTTGAGACCTACTCAACCCTGCCATCACTTTGGCTCCCTGGAAAGCACATGAACTCTTCTGGGTTTGTGGGGCACGTGGGTGGCAGACTCTTGGTATTGGATCAGGTCTTGATCTCACCATCCTGAGGTCCTGGGTTTCGAGCCCTCTGAGGGGTTCCACACTGGGCATGGAGCCCATTTATTTATTTATTTATTTATTTATTTAAAAAGATTTTATTTATTTATTTGACAGAGATCACAAGTAGGCAGAGAGGCAGGCAGAGAGAAGGAAGCAGGCTCCCTGCTGAGCAGAGAGTCCTGTGTGGGGCTCGATCCTAGGACCCTGGGATCATGACCTGAGCCGAAGACAGAGGCTTTAACCCACTGAGCCACCCAGGTGCCCCATGGAGCCCATTTAAAAAACAAAATAATTGTTTTGGATTTGTGTGATGTAGAGCAAAGGGATTTGTAAGCAAGGTAAGATCAAATTCTGGGACATTTACAATGAGATTACTTCGAACTAGAGAGATTCATGCCTTCCTCCATTTGTTTGTTCACTTCTTTTAAGACAATTAAGTCTCTAGTGGGCATTCAACCACTTTCTTGTGTCATTAGGCATATCATAGAACTTGAGACTTGTTTAGAAATGGGGTTGACAACATTTGCTTTTTGTGCATCACATGGTATGAGGATCAGGTGGGGTGATGGAGTTCAAAACAGCAAAAAGCACAGCACAGGGCATCAGAGGGCTACCCAGACACCATGCAATGCGTAGTATCCGGATAAAAGACTGATAAAGAGCTGAAGGCCTGAGGGGGACGGTGGGAATGAAGAGAAGTTGGTCTGCTCGTATCTTTCAGATTGACTGTCTCAGGGACGCTGGCCAGGGCTGAGCTTCCTTTTGTGGGAAGAGTTCATTCCTGAGTCTGGGTCACTGTCTGATATTTCAGGGTGTTCCTAACTATGGTTGTCGTTTTAGAAAATAGATGGTTTCCACAGAGTACACCAGGGGAACAAAACTAAAGAAAAGCACCTCTTATGTGTTGCTATAATGCATTTGTCTTTAAGTACTCGTATTCAGGATTCTATCTCCCAAAGCCATGGTCTTCCTGAAACCTGTGCTTCAACGAGGTCCACCAAATTCCATTATGATTTCCATACAGAGGTCTCTGCCAGTGTGGCCTAGCAGTTCACAATTAGGCCAAGTGTTGGAAGGTTGGTAGGCGTGGCCTTGAGAACAGCCAGGACCCACATCTGTGCAGCAGGTCTCCATTGGACTCCAGCCAGATACTCTTTTGGGATAGAGGGTGCCTGCTAGGGGTCGCTGCTGTGCCCTGTGCTGTGGCAGGCAGAGTGGGAGGCATTGCTGAGAAAGAGATGGGAGTTTGCCCCCTGAAAGCTTACCTCCTGCTGGAGGTGGGACAGGTTTCAAACAGTGGAATGCAAGGCAGAATGTGGCAAAGAAGCTAAAAAAGATATAGATCAAATGCAAGGAATTTAGAGGAGAGTCAAATTACTTCCAGTTGGAGGGAGTCAGTCCTTCACTCATTTGTCCATTTAACAAATATTTATGAGGTGTGTACTAAGGGCCAGTCATAGGAGGAGAAATAGGCCCATTCCCCTGGTTCTTCCTTCACCACCTCAGTGAGGAACAGTTCCCGTTCCAGCTCCCTGTCGCAAATGAATACTTTCTCCCTCAGCCTCATTCTATCACCCAGCCCAATATTTGGGTGGTTTCTCACCCCGTAGGGATTACTGTCAGGTCAGAAGAATTATGGCTCTTGAATACTTTGGAATAGTTAAAAACTCTGGTCACACCAAAGCCGCCATATACCTTCAGTTAGTCGAGTAATGCTGTTCTGTTTCTGTACACTTTGACTAATACTGAGATACACCGGTCCTTAGCCATGGGTGTGACTAGAAGCTTGTAAAGTCTTGATTCAGCAAATCTGTGTGAGGCCCAGAAATCTGTTATTTGAGACCCCCCCCCCAAGTAATACTGATGAGCTACCAGTTGTAGAGTCCCCTAAAGGTGAAAGCATGGGTGAGGGAGTTGGGCAGAGCTTGCTTCCCGTTCCATTTCTGTCTTTTGCAAGTTCTTTAACCTCTGTTTCTTGGTCTTTAAAATGAGAGTAACTGCCTCTTCCTACAGGCTTGTTGTGAGAGTCTGATGATGTCATGGGTGTGGATGACTTAGCGGATTACCCAGGACAGTGCTGCTGCTTGGTATTTGTGGGCCATTACTATTACTCTTAATCAGTGTTAGTATGTACAAAATACTGTTGGTTTTCGTCTTTTCAAATGAACACGCAAGAAAAGCCTACATTTAGGAATAGCCTTTAATAGAAATTAGCATAGGATGATCCCTCAGTGGTCTGTCCTTGAGTGTTTCACCCCAGTCACCACGTGTATCCTCTTAACAGCGGGAGAAGGAGGACTCTCACAGAGAAGCATCTCAGCAATTGGGGGCGAACAGCCTGTGATCTGCTTACACAATCAGGCCTACTCTGCGGAGGGTATCAGGGCACATAAAGGGTAGAAAAGCAAAGACAAGACATACTATACCTTCTGCCATGGCCCCTTGGCACCAGTAAGTGGCATGTTGTGACAGTCATGGGGGCCATCACCAATGTGGGGGTGGCCAGTGGATGAGACTGCCTGCCCAGGCCGGGTTGCTTTGGTCACAGGCGTAGCACCTAAGACCATTCGGTGGGGGTGCCCCTGCTTTTGTGTTTTCCTGTGGCGCAGGATCAGGAAACTGGGAAGCATGCTCGGCGTTACAGTCTTTAGATCAGTCGTATACTTGCTGAGAAGTCAAAAGTAGGCTTTGCTAATACTCAGTAAAAGAGGAACTTAGCTAAAATAGGAGACACAATTACCTATGATCTTCATTAGTTTAGAAACTTCAGGAAACATAGTTCATATTGTAAAAACATGTTGCTGTGGTTCTATAGAACATTTTAGCATTACTTACTGTAAATATATTTTTTCTCTCCTGGTAAGGCATCTTTCCAGTATATCACAGTTTCTTCTTTTTAATTTTCTTTTACCTCTTAGTTTTATTAAAGGAATCAAATTCTTCAAAGCTTTCTATGATCTGGCTTTAAAAAAATCTCTCCTTCCTTTCTTCCTCTCTACCTTCTTTCCATTCTCCCTCCCTTTTTCACTTGCTTTCTTTAATGTTACCACTTACTATGTGTCATTTAATTGAATCATTTAGTAGCTACACAACCCTGTGAGGTAGGTTCTGCTTAGATATGCGAAACCGGAGGCTGAGAGAAGTTGGGTAACTTGCCCGAGGTCACACAGCTAGTGACAGAGTGTGTATTCAGACCTGTGCCATTCTGATCCCAAACTGCACTTTTGACCGTTAACTTCAACTTCACTGATTAGATACTATGTTGCATGTGCTGGGTTCCAGCTTCACTATCCTGTTCCATTCCCAGCCATATGCTTTTGCATTGCCATTTCTTCTCCACACTGCCCCTTTTCTTCATCTAATGTTGAATCCCTCAACGTGGCCACAAATACTTGCTAAGAAGAAAAATAATCGACTTTGCGAATGGTTAATAAAAGGTGACTATCCTAAAATAATGAAGAGACCCAATCCCCTACAAATTTCCCTAGTTTCGTAGCTTCAATAAACATGGCTCACGTT